CATACACATACACATACACATACACATACACATACACATACACATACACACACACACAAACAAACACACCGACACATCAACAGACACACTTAGCGAATTATATAAAGTAGGACAATTCCAGCTCCTACAAACACGCCGTCATCCAAAATAAAGCTTATTTCGGTTTCTGGAGAGACCAAGAGAAACCGTAGATACCAAAGATAAAATATTTTGTAAAGAGTCCTGCAGCATCGCCAAGGATATATGAAGGATAGTTTCGAAAACATGGAAAAGAACTAAAACAGTGGGCTGCAAATGCGACCAGTTGTTCTCCTGATGTTTTCGAAGCGTTCATAATTGTTAGATTGGTAAAGCCTTTGTAGTACGGCATTATTCTTACTGCGAAATGCTGTGAAGAGTGATTTTCATTTGGTACCTAACAATGCATGAAAAGCTTCCATGCGAGTAGTCACAGGTTGACGCCGAACCCAATGGATAAAAATATCAATACCATTATGAAAATAGGAGAAAAAACACTTGAGCTCTCAATCATTCAAATAACATAAGGAATGGCGGTCAGCATTGACCGACGTCCTTCTCCGAGACATTAAAACTGTTGATCAACATTGACCGCCATCGTCGTCAATGTGTTGGAAAGTTCTAAACGCGTGAATAAGTCTGGCACCTTAGTCAGCTTGTAGCCAGTTTCATTGTCAACGGTGAGCTTCTTCAATTGTGGTTCGACATCACGTTGAATCCTCTCCATGATAGTAATAAGCGCGGCGAGGAACGGTGAATTTTGCAGTTGCGGTCGATCTACTTTCTTCGTGACTGTAAAAATATGACAAAAAATGTTGGTTGTGGATATAAAAAATCAAATTCTGTAAAACAGATTTTCGAAGTGAGCTTTTCGGTATTTGGGCCCTCTTACAACATTTACCTGACTGTTAGTACTCATATCTCATTTCAAGGTTACTTCCATTGATAGTTTCCTTTCTATTCAAACGCCTCTATAAAGCTGAACTTAGCCTCTCGCTGCCCCTCCCATTCCTTTTCATTTCTCTTGATAATTACTTGTGATGTGATTATATGCTTGTTTAACTACTTTCGACAAACCCTTATGCCCTTACTGCTACCGTATCAATCGCTATGTCCAGGAATTCTACATGCTCGTGTGCGGAATTTCGTAGTATGAAGCGTGCTCTGCTACCCTGCTATCGAAATTCATTCGGCCACTTTCACCGTCTGCGATAATAGCAAACCTAAAGGCATGGTTCACGATAAAAACGGCTCATGAGATATCTCCCTAAGATAAATTTAGGGACCCCTCGTATACTATATGTAGAACTTTGAGGCCGGAAAACGGCCTAGATAGGGCATTATAAAGGCTAAAAGATTGCACCGTGTGTACGATCGGACGAGTTTCACCGTTCTGAGAGGCTACATTAGTCACAACGGAACCCATGTAGAATGTTCAAACAACTTGTAATGACCCATAGCGACTGCGGAAGGCAGATCTGTACAGTTCTGGCTTGATGTGGTAAGCTCCCGGTGCAACTGCAACAACAGTAATCTCGTCCGAATACTTCTTCCATGTTACTTCCGTCGTGGTAATCTCTTCCAAACTCTATTTCCACTGTTTGACACTGTTTTTGCCCTACGGGTTTGTTATGGTAAGAACCACTTTTTTTACCCTTTTTTCTTGAGAACGGCGAATTGACTCGCTTTTCTCACTATCGATGAACTGTTCGCAGCGAATACTCCCGCACTAGAAAGGGGCACCTCGAAATTTTCGCGATCTGTGCCTTTAAGCACATTGCTTATAACAACTATTCATCGTAATTACATTGCCTCACTTACTCTGTACAATCTCAAGTGGCAACAGCTAATAAGGAGACTGGAGAAAAAGTTTAACAGCGAATAGCACTGCCACCGCATAATGAGGGGATCGAGTTCTTCTCAGACTCGTAAGCCTTCGCATCCCTGAGCTTTCACTACAATTCCACCTCATCCATCTATCGATTAATTCCGGCTGATTTCAAGAATTCAGGACATGGAAAATTTTCATTTTAAATGCTCAGGCATTACGGTTATGAATTAATGTGAACAAGTGGAACACTAAAAGCGGAGCTAATAGTTGATGTCCAGTGTTCCTTGCCCTTTACTTAATCACATAACCGAGGCCTTGAGACATCAATGACAGATGCACGTGCAAATATGGTCAGTATATCGGGTTGATAGCAATTTCTATGTTTTCATTTGTCAAAAAAAAACTCGGAACATTTCTCGCAACGACTAGATGGGTGCTGGTGGAACCACTTCAGAAGCCTTCGGCGCATTAAAACAAACGACGAAACAGCAATATACCCGGTTTGCCTGAACGTTTTGAAGGTTCGTAAAGTATTCTGGTGTTTCGATGTCCCTATCTTTCCACACGACATTGGATTTCGTCGACTGCATGTTCATCCTCCTGGCGTAGAGTTCAAGCCTCCGAAGCTCATATTAAAGAAGGTTTCACCTCAGTACCAAAAAGGTGAACAGTCGTAGCTCTTCGCTTTCTCCACTACTCTCTCGATGTTCCTATATGGTCCACACACGAGAGGTCTCCTTATGCTCAGCTCCAGAGCCAGGTGTTCATCATGTTGACCTCTCGGCTTAGATACAAGTAGCTATACATACTATTGAAAGCTATTCGTTCCGTTGATCGCAAATGGGACATCATGTGTTAATCCGTTTTCCATGAACATAGACTCCGATCTTTCCATTAGCGCTGTCGAATCCAGCCAGCATTTCTTTTGCCTGCTCGTTGGTCGGTTTATAGGACGATGTCTTCTGCAAAGCGGAGATTATGTAAATGACGGCCGTCGATTTCCACTCCCGAATCCCGAACTACGCATGATATTTTCAAGAGCGAGACTGAAAAGGTCGGACGAGTTGGTGTCGCTCTGTCAAGTTCTGATAGGCTGATAACGACAATGACAATAGCGAAATCCTCATCGTGAAGTTGTCGTACAGCTCACGAAGCATCCTTTCATATTGCGTAGGATCCTAAGGCTAAAATCGCTGTTTCAGCTTACGAGTAGGTAGACGCGCCATTGATAGCCTTCTTCAAATCGATGAGCATAAGACCTAACGGCATCCTGTACTCTCGCGATACTCCATTGAGTATTGTGGCTATGATGATGTGGTCGATTGTACCGAACCCTCCAGAAACCCTACTTGTTTGCGTGAATAATCTTTATCTAACCAACTGCCAATCCTGCTGAGGAAGACGAATGTGAAAAGTTTGTATATTATAGAGAGCAGCATTGCTTTATAGGAAGAACAATCCAGACGATATTTGCCAACGTCGTCTGGATTGTCCTTCCTATAAAGTAACACCTTGCTGGTTCTCCAGGACGTGGGCACTTTGCATTCCGACAGGTATCCCTTGAATAGTCTAGTCAGAGTTGTGACGATAAGTGGTGGAAGGGTTCTGGGCGCCGTACAATTCTTCATCGACGTGATGTTATGTTGAAGTTTGGCAGAAAGATCTGAGGAAAAGGAAATGCACCATGCTTATGATGAAGGTAGGGAGGTAGACGTAGCTGTCGAAGAGATCAGAGTAGGAGTCGTGGATGACCTTCGCCCTTCACGATGCAGTGACTGCTCCGTCAGAGCAACCAAGGACAATCATTTTGGTACTGTAATTGGCGAAGATGGAGAGCCGTTTCTGAGCATTTTCTAAATTTCCTGCTTTCCTGGCATTATCGTGAAGGTGTCTATCAATCCGGTTGCACTTTATCGAGCGAAGTGATCCCAAGTGATGATGACTTAGAGTGTCAATTCTGAATTTCGCAGCTCTCTGAGCACGCATTGAAAAACAAACCAGTGCGGAGCAGATGTTGGTTCGATGTCATGCAGTACTTCGACAGAAAAGCGACTTCAGCCAGGGAAAACTTTCGACTGATGATGATGTGACCTACTTCATAATGAAATTGTTCACCAAGTGACTCTCGAGCCCATTGCAGATAAGAGGGCCATTGCAACTGCGAATTACATGAAAGGTGAGGATCGACATGATCGACTCGGTCAGTCTTTCACCCTTTCCAGTCCATCCCGCACCGTGAGTTGCCATGTGAAGCACTTTATCCGTTTTTTCGAGAAAAATTACCTTCTCTCACCTTCATCACCTTTCTGCCTTGAAGTCACCGACGACGATCGTAAAGGACGTTAGGTTATCTCTGAAAAGCCTTTACAGGTCCGACATGAAATCTTCTAGTTCCTCTTCTACACACCTTAATGTTGGTGAGAAGGCGATTCGGGTTGTCAAGCTTTTGTACGAATCGATGCACATGGCCAAAAGCGCGTTGACGAGGACTTTTACGCCGCCGACGCATCTGCTATCGCATGTTCCATACCTTATTTCTTGTCCAGTCTCGAATACGACGTGCAGCAAGCGATACATTCTCGTCTCGGTTAACCCGATTACGTCGTACTTGATCTACCTGACTTGAACTGCCAGACCTTCGACACACTCCTCCAGCTAGCGTTTTTGTAGTGAAAGTAAAATCGCCTTCCTTTGAGCAGCCTGGTTTGGCCCCGAGTGTTTAGCGGCCTATCCCGAGCGTTCATATCTAACGTAGTTGTATTGAGAGCTCTCTCAGGTTCAGGGGTATGAGGCTCATCTAGATTAATGTATTTGGCAAATGGGTACTCATGTGTAGCTGGCCAGGCCATCCCAGAACGGATAAGAGGTCTAATTCTTAGACGTAACCCATTAACGCCTCCCAATTAATTCCCAGTCATTCGAACGCAAGCTTTCGGCTGAGACGACGAGCAGCATATCAACTATCCCCGCATACCACCCACACACGCAGGCATGCATACACATTAGGAAGATAGAAGGTTTAAGTCGACCTAATACAGCAGAAAAAGGGAGTCCGTACCAAGAATCCATCTGAGTCTCTAGGCACGTACCGGTGATTTTTGACCAGGCCTCATTACCAACTGGCTCGAGAATTTTTCAGTAAGACGGAACCGCTGCGAAGCAGATCTTTGAGGTGGATGCACGGACAGGAAGATGTTCGAAGTTTCCTAATACATGCAAGTGCAGAGGGAATCCAACATTTTGCGCTCTGTCAGACCAAAGAAGTGTTGCATACATGAAGAGATCGAAGAACTGGTGTGGACGGCTCTGTGATAACCGTTCAGATTCGCTTTAACTAACGACGTTCGCCGCGCCAGTGCAATGCAACGCAAAGCTTCAGTTCGAATTCCTTTCTTGCGCGCGGGTATTCGAATACATTTTGGAAAGCGTTACTGATTAGAATTAGATTTGCTCGTAGAAGAAGCAAAGTGAGAGTAGAATAAGTCTATTTTTCTTTTTTAGAAAGTAGAGGGTTAGAAAATGAAGGTAAGCGTGAATCGAAAGTTCTTCACTAGAAACGTACAGACAGATACTGCATTCAAAGATCGAAGAGCTACTTAGCCAACAAACTTAGCAACTTACACAGCTCAAACGTGTGTATGTCGAGATAGCAGTGTGCTGCGCCACGCGCGACGAGTGACCTAGATTCACCGACGATAGAACCAGACGTTCTTCCCCCACCCCGTTATTCCATAGCGGTTCCTGTCTCGGACATCAAGCAAACACCAGGACTGTCGAAACACTTTCACGAAAACTCTACGCTCATGCTGCTATGCTTCATTTCCCTCCAGCAAGGACGGTCCATTCGACTTCTCCGTTCCGCAACACGTAGACGTAAACGTTACTGGCGTCACGAAGAAATCGATGTTGGTACAGACGATCATTCTTTCCGCATCATCTTTAATTACCAGGCAAGCAAATGTTGCTTACTGATGGCGTCATCCAATCCTTATTTCACATTCCACATATGAATAGAACGTTTCTCAGCAACCCCTTATCATTTACTTCTTACGCAAGCAGAAAAGCTTTACTTTTTGGAGCATTTACGTCTAGCGTTTTTCTGATAAAAGAAAATCTGGAAGCGTAGGGACTGCTTAAGAGTGACAACTCATGCAATCGCTAAAATTGTTTCAGTGTTAAGAGTTATAGTCCCGAGTGGTTACCTGAAAATTGCTTTGCTGAGCTGATTTCATAACCAAATAATAATAAACTTAGACCGATTCCTACCTGTTTCACATTATCACTTCACTAAACCGAAGAAAAAAAAAGATCATTAAAGATAACGCAAAAATTGGGATAGGATGCACGGCGACGCCGTCATTTTTCGTGGAAGAGAAGACAACAATATTTCAGTGCTTGTAGGGAAGATTGGAGTACTCACAGTCATCCGGTTTCGGTACGTATAGTGCTAGAATGTCACCGTGCTGTCTCACGGACGCTAGAACCGTTGCACCCAAGTTTGCCATCAATTCGTAAATCGTCTTCATTCCGCCATCCTCAGTAAGAAGCACTCCTGCACCCAACGAAGCTGTCATGCCCATCGTCTGAAATATATCTTCAACAGTCGGGTGGCCCGCCTCACGCCGGATTTCCTTACGAAGCAATTAACAAATGAGGTTAGGGAAGGAGGAGGGGCATCGCTTTTATCCAATAGGCTGCTTTTGTAGTCCGCCGGCGTGCCCGCGTGAAAGCCGAGGTAGTGCTGGGAGGGGAAGGGAGGCAGACGGTCTCCTAGAACTACCTCGGCTCGCACGCCGACGGACTATGAAAGCAGCCATACTGTGGGCTAATATGCAGGAAGGAAAGGTGACCAACCTCAACTATGCTCAGAGAATGTCTCTACGAAAGAATACAGGTTTTACCTAGGCCTAGGAAGGAGAAGCACCGGAATGGGTGATATTTACCTCATTCGATAAGCTGTGCTGGGTATGATTGAACATTCAATCGACTCACCCACCCCGGAGCTCCTTTCCTCCTGAGAATAAGTGAAAATCATATATTCTCGGGTTAGAAACATTTGTGAGCAACATTATGGGCTTGTGTCGCAAAGCCGACTAACCTCCTTATCTGTGCTCTAGTGCTAAATGTTGAAAAAACGGAGTTCACAAATATTAGGTTGAACCATAAGTCCTCGAACAATGTGATTGTGATGACTTCTAGAGATCATAACTTGGCAAAGAAGTGACGAAAATAGACATGCGTGGCATCGCTAGATGAAGTATAAAAACCTCTTCCAAATGCGCAATAACGAACACACCTGACTGTTTTCTGCGCTTGAGCGTCAGGAAAGAGAGCGCCATATTGGCGCGGCGGTCCAAGTCATACTGCTCCAAAGCATGAGGCACTATTCGACCGAGCTTTCGCACCTTGCCGATTTACTTCAATCCACGAACAACTGTGAACTGGCTCACACCAAAAGTGACTGCCAATTCACGAGTAGTTTGATACGGATGGGCTTTCACCCGGCTCAGCAGCACGTTCAAATCCAACTCCATTGGGGTCCCGTACGGTCATCTTCGACGGAAAAGCCGCTCAACGCGAACTTCAAGTGCCACTTGTAAATTGTGCTTTTAGCAGAGGCGCTATCTTCGTGAACTTCCTTTTCAGGTCTATCAATGCTGCGGGTACTTGGACAGATGAAGGAAAAATAGGATGGTGTTGCGGAGGTGGAGTTGCGACGGATTGAAATCTTGAGGCATAGTTGCAGGAAAGGAAATAGTTAGGTGTGTTCGTTGGTATGTTTTTGGAAGAGCTTTTCACACTCTAACGATGCCTTACTCGTCCATTTTCGTCACCTCTTTCCGGAATTATGATCTCTAGAAGTCATCACTATCACATTGTTCGAGGACTTGTGACTCAACCTAATACATTATCACTTCCAAATTCTCCTACTTTATATAACGCCCTAATGTCTGTGTGTTTATGTGTGTGTGTGTGTGTGTGTGTGTGTGTGTGTGTGTTTGTGTGTGTTAAGTGTGTGTCCGATCGGAAATTCCGTCCCGTGGACCTAGTAAGTTCAAACTTGGTAGTAGTACTGAAGGCAGGANGGGGGGGGGGGGGGGGGGTGTGCGAAATAATGTTTGAGCGTAAAATAACAATTCCTGACCCTGTGAACCCAGAAAGTTCAAAGTTGGAAGGAGTTCAGGCGGTGGGATATGAGAACACTTATGAAGGTAGCAAAACCAGACTCTGCCCACAATGGGCGGGGTTTGAGCGGAAATTCATAACTCCTGTACCCGTAGACCCAGAAAGTTCAAATTTCAATGAAGTACATGCGACAGATGTGGACACCAAAGGTGAGCGGAAGGACCGGACTCTACCCACAGCTGGGGGTTTGTGTGGGAATTGTTAATTTGGTCCTGGTCCTAGGGCGCTCAATTTTGGTAGGATTACAGGAAACATGATGGTAACATTTATGGAGGATGGCACGACCGGACTCCGCCCACAATGGTGGACAGGAGCTATGAATTTCATAACTCCTGTCCCCTGAACATAGAAAGTTCAAACTTGTTAGGATTACAGAAAACAGGATGGAAACACTTATGATGGATGGTAGGACCGACTCTACCCACTGTGGGCGGGGTTTGCGCGAAAATTGTCAATTTTCTTCGAAATTAGGGCCTTCAAAATTGGTAGGAGTACAGATGGCAGGATGGGAACAGTTATGATGGGTGGCAGGACCAGACTGCCCTCAAGGGGCGGGGTTCAACCTTGGAGAAGAGGAGGCAGCATGGGAACACTGACGACGGAAGAGGCCTTATTGTTAGAAAGCAAGACCCGTTCACCAGTTAAATCCAATTCTTCCAATCCAATCGCCTTTTTAATTTAAGATCCCGCTTTGACACTTTGATAAGTTCCATTCGACAAGAAGGGTAAGTGCAGTAATGAGGACCGACCAAGAGTACTAATTTCAAGGAGATGAAAATTGGTTCATTTCTTGCATGTATTAATTTACGACTGCTACCCTGCAAAGGTTGCGTCTCGATGAAGAGTCACTGTCGCTTTGATATCATTCTTGGCGAAACTTATCCGACCGCAGATGTTCTTGGATTCTCATTCAATGGTGTATCCGTAGAAAAAGGAGGCCCGTTGATAAAGCCATTTGATAGTGGCATGGCTCAACAACACTTGTAAGTATCACCCAGAGCTTTGGTTACCTACCAATTGCACCTTCAATGGGTCACTATTTTCACGATGAACAACAACAGATTGAGACTTCTAATCTTAGGCGTAAACATCGGTTCATTTTGAATACATCTTGCATACCCTACCAGTCCTCCGTCGAATTTGTCGAATGTCCCGAAAAATGTTTGTTCCAAATGAGGAGGAGACGATTTGCCGACCATTACAACCCTATCATAAGAAGGAGGAAGGCCTGGCGTTAGCCGGGCGGCCCAACTAGTGAAGCAAAGCCTTGATGTGTCACTTTGTAAGTTTGTAAGTTTGTTGGTGTGTCGGTCTGTCCGTTCGCAAAACTGACGACTACTGTAAAGGTAGTGATATGGAAAGCCTAGCTCTATTCTGCAAATCCTTGTTATATAGAAGGCAGAAACTTGGTGGGTAGGTTGATGAAGTAGAGTGAGTACTGCGTAGTGAAGTCAGAGATGAGGAGTGAACTAGGTACTTTCAAACTGTGGTTTCGATCAGTACCGTCATCATGCCATGTGCAAAGATCTGCACGATTTTCACTGGGAACCGAGGTGAGTGAGTCAATTGAATAGCAACTCATGCCCCATCCTAGCTGTTTGCACGAGGTAATCATTCAACCCCCACCCCTCTTCTTCTCCCCTACTGAGACTTAGCTTGAAACCATATTTTTTGGAATAGAACCGTATCTTACTCGCCTACTAAGGCTCAGTTTGGAACCATCTTTCGCCTAGAACCGCCTCTAACCAGGGAAGGATCCCAAGTCGAAGTGGCCATTTGAAATGAGACCTACACTGCTGGACGTCTTTTTGGATGCTGAGTTCATATCTGCTTTCCAAATTTGCCAAGCGTTTCTCTGAACGGAGTTATGAGGACGTTTCCGAGGAGCTTAACATAAGAAAACTTAGATTACATAGATCGCTTGCTTCGTAAATGGCGGCTTGGTGTAGTGGTAAGCGGTGCGCTTCATGAGCGAGAGGCTAGAGTTCGGGTTTTGTGGGATACGGGTTTCTTGCATCATGTAGAATTTTCCCCTCAAGGACTAGAAAATACTCTCATGATGATTTTATCACGTTTTATGACCTTTTAATGCATTTGCTGATATTTATCCACATAAAGTAATACTGCAGTTTTGCTCGCATGCCCATGCGCTCTATGTTCATATAGGACAACTTTTGCCACTTCATGAACAGTGATACTCTAGCACAAAATGCTTGAAACAAAGTAGCTCCCCCAGTGGGAGCAACGGATGGAAAAAGAATTCCCCATTGTTTTACACCTACTAACCCCAAATCAGAAGGAGAACAGAATTGTGTAGGCGTTCCAAAATCACACAGGTGAAATTCATCTTGTATTCATGTAGCCTGCGGCATACATGAATACAAGAGGAATTTCATAAACCTAACCGCACAGAACTGAAAGTAGACAAGCGATAATAAGCGAAGAATGGGTCTCGTGTGAACAAGCAAAAGTTGAGATCATGAGCTATTTCATATCAGATGGTGCGTTTAACCATATTTACAAAAGGAAATAAGAAATAATCTTCTATCGGCTGTATTAGCCTCGCTTTAACTTCGAGCAGGGTGTCTTTTCCTTCACCTGCTTCTGTCTCCCTTCATCTTCAAGTCCCCTATCAACGGTGCCGGTATTGGGGAGTCCAGAGGTGCTACGCACCATCGCACCGAAAGTGTAATTATCTGAGCTGGAGTGACATCAGAATGCAAAAGCATATTAGTCATTATCGACAGAAATATGAAAATCGACTCCGAGGTTTACCAAAAGGTATTTTTAATGGACACCCTGCTGATCTGGGTTAGTGACCGATCGTTCGTCCTTCAAGAAGACTGTGCCTCTTCGCATGCCTCATAATCGGCAAACCGCTGCGCTCTTCGCCGGGTACTGGGGGGAGGACATCTGACCTCCCACTTAACCAGACCTTAATCCAGTGGACTTCACTGTGTGGGGAGCTCCTGAAGGGCAAGATCACAAAACGCTCCTACCGCTTGTTGGACGTCTGGCGTTGGTGCTCCAGAGGGCGTAAGACTATAACGACGTAGACTACATGCGGCGCACTATGGGTTCAGTTATCGAACATCTAGATGTTTCCGTAAGAGCGAAAGGACCACACTCCGTTGCTTCCTGTCCCAAAAGATCATGCAGCTCTACTCTTATCCTCATTGTAGTAGATTCGCCTACCTGTCCTAGACTTCGAAATTGAAATAAAATGATTAAGTTTTGGCATTGGTCTCAAGAAAGCGTCACCGCACCCGACTTCCATTCAGAATCGTAGTGGCGTAATGAGTGCTTATGTGGCCTAAACAATGACTTGCAGTGGCCAGCCGATGTATAAGCCAGTGCTTTCATCCTCATAGACGAGTCTGGAACCAATTAAGGATCCCGTAGGGAAGGAAGGCTCGGTTGGCCTGAGCGAATATCGATCCGGGATTCGAACCCTTGACCGTGCGTGTGAGATAGTGCACCACTTGCCACTACACCACATCCACCCAATCTTCGAAGTTACGCTTAAAAATGTGGCGCCCTATACTTTTCAGCCACCCTGTACAGAGCGGACGCCAATAGAGATCGGAATATTAGCATTAAAGCACCCAATTCACGACACTTTACTCATTCCACTCCGCAGTACTCACTCCACTCAATTAATCGACCCATCGAGTGACTGATCTGATTATAAGAAGGAACAGCTGAAAAGAGCTGAATTTCCCAAGTCACCACCTTCATCATAATAATAACGTTTTGCGGACGGGCAGGCAGACCACGACACAACAAGGTATGCTTAATAAACAGAAGGATCGGATATATGAAACAAGATAATTCATATTTTTGCCTACCTGAGGTTTCGGTCCTTGATAATCATGGATCGTTTGCATAAGAATATTGTAAGGATGATCCTTTGTGCAGTGGTGAACTTCGTCAAAAATCAATAGTGAGAAATCACACACATATAATCGTTCATCTTGACGAATTGACTTAAGCATATTCCTGAAAACGCAAAGTATAAGGGGCGAACATTTTGCGGAAACTGTGACAAGAACAAGTTTAAAAAAGAAGTGATCGGAAATCATGGTCATATGCCTTTCACAGCCATTGGTTATGTGATAATGCACCGTTTGGGCAACTGATGACGCTGCATGGCAACCAAGCGCCATTCATCCTTTTCTCAGCCCCATCTCCTTCGAATAAAGCATTGACCAGTTTCCAATTCTCCAAGAGTTGACCAAAGTTTTACTGGTTACACACACCTTCCACCCCGTAATGTTTAGAAAGAACTTCTGGGTGGAAAAGATTGATGTTTTCGACAGGTTCATTTGGGAGTGGGACGAAGGTGGTGTAGCGGCAAGAGGTTGTACCACACATGCATGGTCCGGGGATCGGATCCCGAATGATCGATATCCGTCTGTACCAGCGAAACCTTCCATCCCTCAGGAGTCGGTTAATTAGTACCGGACTCGACTGGAGGACAAAAGGACTGGATTGACTCGTACATCAGCTCGTACCGCGAGTCACTGGATCGGCCAAACACGCATTCAGTATGCCACTTCTATTCTGAATAGAGTCGAAGCTGGAGGCGCACACCGAAACGAGATTGACCAGCAAAAAACTCGTCGTTCATTCTTTTTATCACTTGCTAACAACAAACCTCACTGTAAACATGCAATTGTGAAACATCACCATGCACCTAGGAGCATATTATACAATCCGATTTTCACAGTATGCTGAAGCCCCAGACCTAGAGAGCTGATAAACTCACAGTAAGATTTGTGGAGTCATAACGACGATATCGCATGCGAGGACGATATCTCGACGTGATGCGCCCTTGAGCCCAGAGCCATGAAACCCTTCTACATAATACCTAGAACAAAAGAAATGCTACAATTTTTACAAAAAACACAGTAAGCGCATTAAAGTGGCTTATTGTTAATATTATAAGATAGGATCCCAGGAGGAAGACAGCGAGCGGCTGCAGTCATCTGGGATATGGGTCAGAAAAAGGCACGCTTACAATTAAATATGGTAACAAGTTGAAACATATGAAATGTAACTTCCTACGACCTATACCCTTGTCGTGTGGTACCATTCATGGAGAACTTAATTCGGTGCAGTGACGGCCATGGCTTGGATTTTTCTACGCAAGTGAGTAATCGAATATCCTGGAGAACGTCCGTTGCGCGCGTATGTCGCAAGTAGGTCACTCCGCCCACTTCGCGCGCGGCGCACCCCACTGAGGTCTCGAGGTGACACNACAGTACCATCAAGTGTCAGTGGAGCGAACGATTTGTATTTGTCCATGTTATCTTCTCTCTGAGATGACTGCCGGGGACCAAGCGCGAATCGTGTGCCCCACTGACAACTACGACATCTGTCAAGTATCGCGGGCTGACCTGCCGCATGCGACGGCTGCGGCGTGACCTAGTTTCGACGAACGCGCGCAAAGAAGCGCACACGAATATCCTTACTCTGCTGTCCAAGCATACTGACAGCATTTATCGGAGCCATTATATGAGCGGCTGATAATAGTAATTTACTCACTTTCCACGAACATATTTGTGAAATCTATGTTTTTGCTGATCCACCAAAGGAGTCCTTGGCACCAACATAGCAACCTTAAAACATTCCCTCATAGGATTGAATCAAAAACGAAAACTGTCGAAGTTAAAGAAAGAAAGGTGACTCGAACAGTAAATTCACATGCCAAATTGTGAATTTAGAAAATGTGGAGTTTGCGATTGTGAGCGACGGCGTGTGTCGCACCAGCAAATCACAACTCTTAATTGTGTGTGTGTGTTTCGTGAGGTCTCGCCCTTTTGGCTTGGAAGAATTCAGATGGTCGGTCAACGTATCACGAGAAAAAGAAAGCCGAGATCAGCCGGCGATCCGACCAGATGAGATGATTGCTTTACATTGAGTCGAAACTCCACTTGAGTGATTTCTATGAAAAACCGAATAGGTATTCTTATCTTGACATATAACAAAGTGTCTGTTGGCTTGTCGGAGTGAATTTATGTGTGTGTCGGTGTGTGTGTTGACTGGAAATTCATACCTCCCGTTCCCCTGAAACAAGAGCGTCAAAATTTGGTAAAGTAAGGAGGCAGGATGGGTACACAGGTAATATGTGGTGGGAAGCTGAACTCCATCCAAGGGGAGAAGGGGAGGCGGAGCGGAATGTGTGAGAAATGAGCACAACTTTAATAAAAATACGAAGTCGAGATGGAATATGTGGGAGTTGAACCGAGTTACTTAAACCTACTGGACTCACGCAGAACACCGCTCATGGTGGGCGAGGCAAGCACACATTGGTTCAGAATGAGTGTATGGCAGAAGAACCCAAATCTACTAATCTTCTGAACAAGAGCATCCAAATTTGAAAGGTGTGTGGGCGGCGAAAAAATTTGAACACGAAAAGGAGCAGAGTCCGGCGTCAGGCGAGCAATCCGACCGATGCACACATAATTCGCTGTGTGTTTGTCGGTACATTTGTCGGTATTTATTTATTAGCCTACACTTCAAAAGTGAGCCGAAGAAACCTGCTAAGTACAAAAATAAGCTGGTAATCAATAGCTCATAGAACATTCCGAGACCTGTTCGACGCTGCAAGGAATGATAGCGGTAGGAGATAAAAAATAGAAAGAGCTAGAAATGCTGCTTATTGAAATAACCAGTCGGCTTTGCCCGGCTCTTCCCTACTTCTTCGACATAGTGTAGTAATCGGCTAACTTTGCACTCCTTCTTTGTAACAAATAATATTTTCCTTTCAACAAAGTTTGACACAGGACTAACCGAGCAGTGCAAATGGTATCCAGTAAGAGTCGATGATTACGCCTTTACTTGGAAGTCTCGATCTCTTGTTCTCTTTCTCAAAAATAAGTACCCAGTGAAGAATGAACTGTTAGGTAACTGAAGCCTTGGGCGAAACACTAATGTTTCGAGTGATGATAACACCATTTTCATACCTTTTTCGTTATTAACAGACCTTTTTCTTTACAGAGATACCGATAGTTAAGAGTTCTAGATAACTGGCGGTCGGTTAAGTTTTGCCGCAAATTGATCCTTCATTGAATCACAAACCTTGCTAGGTAGCAGTCGTAATCTAATAGCAGGAAAATACTCATCTGCTTGTCGTTGTGAATGGGTCCGTGTCGCTGCACTTACCACTCATTTTTCTCACTTTTCTCTGCATCCCGTCTTATCGAATGAATTATACTGGACAGTCAAAGCTACATCGTAAATACCGAAAGCGTTAGGATTTCGAATGGTAGGTGGCTCTTGCTTTCTTAGACTCTTTATCCTCTCTTACCAGTTATTATCCGTTCCGTCAACGAGTACCTACAATCCCGCCATATCCTACATCTCNCCCCCCCCTAGCACTGCCTCCGCCGGCACGCACGCCGGCACGCCGGCACGCCGGACTATGAAAGCAGCCTTTAGGTATACGGAGATAGTAGTTACCAATTTCCACTGAAATATTTACTCTGCGTAAACTCTGCCCCTGTTGGCGGAGAATGGCCCTACCACCTGCCATAAGTATTCCTATCCTGCCTCCTGTACTCCTACCGAATTCCAAGGTTCTAGATTCGCGTGAACAGGAGTTATGAGTTTATGGTCCAAAATTTCCACCGTCCATGCCCCGCCCCCCGTAGGCGGAGGCTGGTTCTGCTACTTGCTATGAGTATTTCCATCCTGCTCCAGTACTTCTACCGAATTTGAACTCTCTAGGTCCACGGGAACAGGAGTTACGAATTTTCCAAACACACACACTGACACACACACATACATACATCCCACACACCAACACACTTGGCGAATTATTTAAAGTAGGATCATTTGACATTGCGGTTTTATCGGTTTTGGTCAATCAGGGAGCCTCCCTATATAAGAACAGTAGCCGACTGTAGTAGTTATAGCAGTGCAACGGTGCAGCTACATATTCCAGCGACTCTCGCCAGTCCCAGTGGGCAGGGTGCCAGACAAGGTAAATAACAAGACAAGGCCACACTATTTTGCCGAAGCTGTCCCTAGCAGCGCAGTAGCAGACTATGGTCGCCAAATTGGGACGAGAAGGGCATTCGTATAGATGGACTGTTTTAAACCTACGTTTAGCGGACGACTTCGCCTTCTTTTCTAGTAGCTTTGCGGAAGCTGAAACTATGCTTACAGAACTTAATCAAGCAGCAAAGAAGATAGGCCCGAACAAAGAACTTGCTCGTGAAAAATGCTTGGACAAGATCAAATTGAGGTCGCTATACTTACCAAATTTTTGCCTTACACTTGTTCCTGGCGGTCCATGATCATGGAGAACGACATGAAAGAAGAACTGCAAAACGGTAGAAAGAAGCGCGGACGGTCTTCGGACCTCTGAAAGAAGTCACCAATCAGCTGGCGGACCCGGAACTTCGCTGATTGATGATAGCTAATCCGGAAAGCTAATCTGTATTCCACAGTTCTCCCTGCGTCCGTTACGCGTCGGAGACATGGGTGTCCAGCGCATCAAGGTTAAGGGGTTGACATAAGTTACATAGCACTCGAGTTAGACTACGTAGCTATGATATGCGTAGAGTGGCTCGCCTTCGCAACTACGTGACATAGAGCAAAATTTCAAATTCTGATGGACAGATCATTCCTTTAGAACATATGATGACAGATGAACAAGTAGAATAGCCGAAGGGGTCCCGTAGTATGTTCAGATCTAAGGAAAGGCCTAGAGCCCGATTTTGAGTCAATCGTGGATGGTAATTGCGAGAGACCAAAACGATTTGTTTGTTGTTGGTGTTCGCACATGAGCGAAGACGAGCTGTGAGAGTAAGCCCCAGGATCGAAGACAAAAAATCCTGATTCCACAAGAAGTCCTAGAGCATTCAGTCAAGGTATCCTCGTTCTGATAGAGGTCCTAGGATTTACATGATGGATGAGGACAATTTTCGACCGTATAACGGCGAGTATGGTATTAAGCGGGGCCTCGAAGTCATACTATGAAGTCACACTATGAGGAAATCTCAGACCATTTTGTCGTGAACTGTGCCTTCAAGGTGCAGGGTATCCCGCGTAAGCTCTCACTGCAGCCTAGGACAATCCTTACTGGAATCCTTATTAAGCGCTTTTGTTCGACTGTCTTCCACAATTACCGGAACTATCTGAAGAAATCCTTACAAATTAGGACCAACTTGAGATGGGTTGGTCAGAGCAGATTGGATTGTGGCTAAGATCGAACACTAATAATTCTGCTTAGAAAAGCCTGTTGAAGAAAGGACCAGAATTCATAACTCTGCCCGAAAATGCTCCAGAACTTTAATCATTATCGCCATACACAAGTTATCATCATAACTTGATCATTATTTCTCCTACTTATAAAGCAGTAAATTGGTGTAACGGTTTGTCGGTGTGTGTTCCTTTTCATATGTAAAGCAGTAATTTGAAGTGTAGATTAATGGAGTAGAATACTACTACATATGATTCTCTAAGTGTGGCTGTTGTTTTGTCGTTGTGTTTGTTTGTGTGTGTGTGTGTCGATGGGTGTGTCTGACCGGAAATTCATAACTCCTGTTCCCGTGGACCTAGAGCGTTCAAACTTGGAAAAAGTACAAGCGACAGGATGGGAACGCTCCAGGTAGCAGGATCATATTCCTTCCCCACGGAGCAAGCGTGTGCGATAGTTTTTCGACCCCAAATTCACAACTCCCGTTCCAGTGGACCTAGATCGTTGAAATTTGGTAGAGGTACAGGCGGCAGGATGGGATCATTATTTATGGTAGGTGACAGGACCAGAGTGCTCCTACAAAGGCAAGACGTACGCGACAGAAACTTTCGACCGCAAATTCATGACTTCTGTTTACGTAGACTTAGAGCCTTCAAACTTATTAGCAGTACAAGCGACAGAATGTGGGCTCTTATAGTAGTTTGTGGCAGGCTGGATTCCGATCACAGGGGCGTGGTTTGCGCGAAACAAATGGTTGAGCGAATATTCATAACTCCGTTCCCATTGACCCGAAGAGTTCGAATTTGGTAGAATTACAGTTTTTTTTTTGAGAAAGGGGCCTCAAAGAGCAAGAGCCACCTACCGATCAAAATCATGATCCTTCGGTATTTGCGATGTAGCTTCGAGTGTTCAGTGCTTCATTCGATAAAACGGGATGGCAGAGTAGGATGACAAAAGCGAGTGGTAAGTGCAGCGGTAGGGACCCATTACGGTACCACGACAAGCTGATGAGGATTTTGTTTATTTCTTGCTATTGGATTAGGACCGCTCTCCAGCAAGTTTGTAACTCAATGAAGGATCCCCTCCAATCGATATCATTTGCGACAAAACTTGACCACCAATAACCTGGAATTTTCAATAAATGATATCTCGTAAAGAAAAGGGTCCACTGACAATGACATCTGACAATGGTGTTATCATCGCTCGGAACATTTGTGAGTACAACCCATTGCTTCAGTTGCCTAACAGCCAAGTTTTCAATGGGTGCTTTGAGAACGAGAGCAAAGTTCGATACTTTCATTTAGAAGCATAAGCACCTACCTACACTGAATACCATTTGCAATGCCCTGTTAGTCCTGTTTCAAACTTCGTGTACAGGAAAATATGACTGTTTCAAAGAGAGAGGAAAGTGTTAGCCGATTACCACAACAAGGAGGGAAGCCCGAAAACAGCCGGGCGAACCGACTGGTATATCAAGAACTCGTGTCTATTCTCCACAAACTGTTATATAACCTAGGGTATCGGATGGATGGGCTGGGTCAACTTCGGTTTGAAGATTGGGCAAGAAAAGAGCGCATGTGAACTCAGCAGAGCTTCACACACGAGGGCAGGTCATGCACTGGGAAGGTTGTTGCGACGGGCCGAATTTCCCTGTTTTGTTTTGGAATAGCCCTGACAACGGGAAAAAGGAATAAAGGGGAGTAGCGGGTCAAGGCATTAATAGGAGGAGACAACTGGGTGTCGGAGTGTCATCAGGTGATCTGAACTTTTCCATAAATCCATAATTCGATTCCACCACAAGCCTAAGCCCTGGTTCTCAAAAAGTAGAACTTAAATCATAAACTTCGTTCGTAGTTTAGTAGCAACCCAGCAGTCCACGCAAGCAGTTCAAAAAGCCAAATTTCAATTCGATAGTTAAACTAGCTGCCGTCTCCAATCGTTTTGATGGAAGTAGTGAGCGAGTAAATTCTTTCATGTGTTATGTGGAAAGACTCCATTGTGGGCTATCACTCACCCTAGCTGGCTGGCGGTTCTCAGCTCTCTCATCCAAATGAGACGTGGCGACATGGATGGCTACCTCGGTCTTACCGGATCCCGTTGGCGCACATGCTATAGTGTTTTTGCCGCGGAGAGCTGCCTCGGCCTCCAAGCATAATTGATGAAAAAAAGCTTCACACAGCTGCACAAAAAATTCACTCACCAGTTCTTCTTGATACGGTCTTAGTTTGAGTGTTTCTGATTCTTGTACATCATCACACACTGCAAACAAGTCCATTCCACACCGAAATAGAAAAGGGACCAAACAAAAAGAAGGTTAGAAAAGTATTAGTTTACAGATTGTTGACATAAAAACTTTACTCAGCATAATTCAATTGTGCACTCACTACTTGTTCTGAAATGAGCATAGTCACTCGGTTTACGCATCTCAGTGATTTCCGGCACAGCTCCAACGAATTCATCATCCTTCACGCTTTTACCGGTTCGCCGACGGCGTTTTTCAATCAAACGATTCTCTAAGAAAAGTAAAACAAATTCAGCAGAAACACAATCGTAAATAGTTCACGTAAAAATCTACCAATCTACTCTGACCTTGATTGATTTCTCTTTATGCTTCCATTAGAATTCCGCACCAACTCCTCAGCAGAGGGTAGAGGAACTCGGATAACAGTGGAGGGGTGAGGTGCTGTCAAGACGGACTTGCGGGACGTAGATTTTGTAATGCAGTGACCACACAGTAAGATAAAAAAACATCGGACGACTGATAAAAAAGCGTTAGACTTCCGGCAATGAAGCTTCAAATGGAGTTTCTGGTATAACGATAGAATTTGTACTGTTGTTTACAAATATGGGTTCAAAAATTACGAGCGATCTGAAATTGAAAGGACGCGTCGTCACTCAGACGTAGAGTGGTGTAGTGCTCTCGCTTTGCAGGCGTAAGATTTGCTCTACAACATCATAGCAATTTCTGCGCAGCGTTCTTTGCTAAAGAAAAAGCTCTTATCCCTTTCATAGACATGGTTCAAGTAAGCGCCCCATTTCGGTTGTCATTTACGACTATCGTGTTTATTTAAGACGGACGTGGTACAGCACGTACATTGTACATATAACTCTGTTCAGTCTTAAGCACTGACACATTGAAAAAAATGCTTCGAACAAATGCCTGCGAGGAACCCAACATTAATAAGACAACCTAAAAAATGTGTGAAGCAAATATGTTCAAATAGTACACACATAAAGTTGTTAATTTACGACCGTAGACAAATCAGTCAACGGTCCAAAGACTGAACTAATATACTGTACTAGCCAGGGATGGCATTGAAATCTGGGTTCCCATCAACATGCTCTGCCCGGTGCTGTGAGCGCTTTGAGGAAAGAGGGGTACAAATCGGACACAACACCTACAATAACCAATGGCATAGCTCTCACAAGGTTGACGAGAGCTAAACTCCGTTTCCTACGGGACTCGAACCCGTGCTTGAGCTTTCCGAGCACCTGCTCTTATCCAGCACATTAGCGAGACCTCGCTTGCCTTCTCCTTCATGGTGGCTCAAAAGCCATAGTTTATCAGCACTCACACGCACAACCTGTTGAGCCGGCCAACCAACAACAGCATTGAACCCTTAAGCTGTGACTTTTTTGTTATAACTTGTTTTGACTTGACGTTTTTGTTTACTACTGTTATTTAGCTGCACTATCCGACCCGATAGTCTCACATGGTGGACGAGGCATGGACAAAATTCGAGCTTCGCCAACGTTGTGAGCCTTTCGGATCGCGTACGGCGAAGTAACAACAGTTAACAAAAACATCAAGTCAAAAAAGTTATAACAAGGGAAGCTGAATAAAGCCATCAAGTTGGAACGATGGGACGTTCTATCATCAAATGCCTCTAATAAAAACCTTGCAAGGCACAAGGATGTCACCATGGTTGATCCTATGAAGAAAGTTCTCCTCGCATCGTACATCTCTTTATTTCGAGTAGTTTCAGGTAAGGAATTCTCCATTGAAGTTTTTTGCAAGCTTCGAAACTCACTAACCACGATCACCACGAACAATGCCGTAAAATTACCCAATAACAACATATACACTGCCTAATAGAAGAACGTAGACACCTCATTATTTTGGTCCACAGGGATTGCCAGTGAATTGTGAGCTATAAGTCTTCTGCCATTCGAATCCTCGGATACAAAAACCCATGAATACCCATTGTTCTTTCAAAAAACCGCGCGAGGCTCTCACTAGGGAAGGGTTTCAACTCCCCATGGAGCTTTGAATAGAGTACTAGGTATATAGATACGGCTCTGGAAGTTTTTAACAAATATGGAAATTCAAACTCGAACAATTCAAACAAAATCAATCTATCAAAAAAGTTATGAGCGTTCAAAGTTTGCATGCTTGAAGAACGGAGAGATAGTGCCAGTTGATAGCGCGTTTGCCCGCAATGGTTACAGTGCTCTAATTCGGCTATCGTTTGCGATCATTGTTTCATGGGGGGGAGGGGGGGTCACGTTGAGTATTCTCGCGGGTTCAAGACTATTTCACTTTGGGCGTGGGTATGTGTGTTTCGAAAAAAGTTCGGTGATAGGTGATAGGTAGATGATCGCAAACGATAGCCGAATCAAAGCACTGATTTAAATTAGTAAGAAAATTGGTTTAGGAGCTTCTATTCGGATGAAAGCTCGTTTTGCAAAGACGAAATCGACAACGGGAAGCAAACCCTCACTGCTCACCTGGAGAGGGAGGGCACTGCCACTACACCACGGTGACCCTTATAGCCATTGCGGGCAAATGCGCTTATCAACTGGCACTATCTCTCCATGCTTTGATCATGCAAACTTTGTACGCTCACAACTTATTTGGTAGGCTCATTTTGCAGTTTTCATTTCCATATTTGTTAATAACTTCCCAAGCCCTATCGAGATACCTAGGTCTTTATTAAAAGTTCCATGGAAAGTTGAAACCCTTTCCAGGTTAGATTTTTTTTTTAGGAAAAAATCCTCTTTACGAAAGAACGTGGACACCGAGCTTCAACGGACTTCTGCAGAAAAATTCCGTGCTTTTTGGTAGTTTTCTCCCCAAACGTTCAGTCGTCAAGCCTCTTCTTGGTCAATTCTTCCCTGAGAAGAACAACAGATCAAGGCTCTTCATGAAGCTGGACACTCGAATCGATTGCACGCCAGCTCAAAGCTTCTCTTCATGTATTAGGAAGAACACATTCAAGACCTTTGCCTACCGCTCAGTCCCAACTATGGGGCGATCTCGAAGGTTGACACCTCAAAAAAGAATAGCCACTTTTTGCCACATCATAATGGCGAGGCTGGAACTCGAACTGGAAAACAAGATGCAATTTCGTGAGACAAGGTGCAACTTTTCGAGAGATTTGTGAGTTTTGGTTGACAACAGTTTCTGTAGTTTTTTCGTTTAGGTCATACTCAGTAATCAAAAGAGGACAATATGGACGGTCCATATGGAACCCGTCACTAATGGAGAGATCACCGTTGCGATCCGCTATTCTATTCAAAGCGAGTCTTCAGATGTGCCACAGTAGTGGTTCGGACTGGCTTTGAATAAAGCAGCCCAATAGAAGTGGTCTTTCCTTCATGCCGAATGGAAAGCCAGGAGTGTCACAAAATGCTTCAGTTCTCCTTCTCGCCATTTTTAAGAAGCGCGCGAGGCAGGACACATGCCCTCAAGCCAATGTTGTCCATGCCCCACGTTTCACGAAAAAACGAATTCGACTCCGTATTAATGTGATTGACCCGTGGCCCTCCCTACTGACTGCAAGCTTTTCGAAAACTTATGGGGGACCATTCTTCGACGGGTCTACCTCGACAACCGCAAGTACAACATCATGGAGGAATTGAAGACAGCGATCTTGGCTGTTCCGGAATTGACCGTGTAGACAACCGTCGCAAACTTGGTTCAGAACATGCCGAACAGAAGGTTCGAACTGATCGGAAACTTTGGAGGCCCACCGACTATTTGCTTTACCCATATTCCTTCGCTTTGCATATTGTCCACATAGTTTTGTTACGATAAAAAAATTAATAGAAAACGTAAAGCGCTCGAAATAAAAAACGTGAACGTCTCGAAAGTTCTAAAGGACCAAACATTTCTAAGTTCTCGCGTCCGAAAATTTAGTTTGTAGAAGAGTTGTAGCTGGAACTCATTGGAAAGCATAGCAAACCAAAATGAGATGATGAGATGCCCACACCCTTTTGTTGTGCACTGTATAAAATCGAGAGAAAATGATAAAGAAACTAACCAAGGACTTCCTCGTAGTTCGGTAATAAGTAAAATAGTACTGCGCGATTGTATGGATCTCTCGAGCAAGCTTTAACGAAGTCGTAGAACCAATCATCTGTATTCCGATTCAGAAGTGGCAAAGTGCGTAGAATTCGAGCCGCCCAATATCGTTCATCAATCTCTACAAAAAAAACAGAACCTGGACCCTCAAGAATTGAAGCTTCAACATTATTTTGAATTGGATACTTGTTTTTCTCAAAGTAATCATTATTTCTGCTGTCTACGTTAGAGGGATTCAAGCGTCACGTGAACGTGTAATACAATAACCCCTGGTACCCCAACACCCACCCCCGTGGGCTTCACCCGCGGTACCTTTCTTTTGCGTCGGACATGTGACCGGTGTTTGGAAGGCGCTTGGTTGTGTGTTTACGGTGTGTGGGTTAAGATCAAATCCGTCTTGCGCTGTCAACTCAATCACAACGCTTTTTTATGTGGTCCGCTGAACATAACAAGGGAGAGCAATGTTTCGAAAAAATTGCTCGTGCGGGCCCCAATAACTTCTATTTTCCAGCACTCGCCACTCCTTGCTCGAGGGGCTCAAGGCAAATCATTCCTTTTGCTCAGAGCCTCCGTAAAGAAGTCCCACCATAGGGCTGCCGGAGACTCATCCAAAAGGACTCAGTTAGTAGTAGCCCTGATCAAGCACTCGCGTGACGTGTCCGCTTGCGTGATAGTACAGTAACATCAACCAGAGCTTGGCATAAACACATGAATAAATGATAGTTCACGATAATTGTGGGTAATCCAGATTATGAAGAAAAATGGAGGACAAAAGGACCATGCGAAGAAGGCGAAGAAACTGCGTGAATCGGTGTTTCGAAAGTGAAAAAGTCTTCGAAAATTCGTTAAAAAGGAGGTGGACGAGAGTGAGACCAGAAAATGAAGAGCTGTACAATGTACCTCATTGCGTACGTGTGAGTCCTGGTGCGAATAGCTGACCACGGTGAGCAAAAATTCATTCACTGATAAGCATAAGTTGACAAAAAACCCTAGTCACAGCAAAAACAGCCCACTTTTTTAGCCTCTTGAGGTAGCAGATTAAATAAGGATTGCAGCAGCAAAAAGATTAACAGAGAATAAATGCATAAAAGAAAACATCGCCTCTTTACTCGGCTATCAGCTGATTGTGTATGAGTCCTGGAGAGAATGTAGCAATCTATATCGCCTCGACACTGACGTGAGATCGATCGGAGGGGGGGGGGGGGGGGGGAAGTCCGGGCGATTCGGTAAATAGGCTCTCACTATGCCCTTGCTGTTGAGTTTCGAAATCGAGAGCGTCCCGCCTGTTACCCTTTGGGGTCGCTGGGTCTTCTGAGCATTTTCTCATTGGTTACTGTAGGTTGTCCGGCAGCTTCTATTCCAATCACGTTCCCTGAACCTTTTCGCGGAGCCTTTTCAGAACGAGGCTTCCATACTGGTGTTTCCAGCTCCAGGAGGGATACTTGGTCGCAAGACCATCCAAGATGAGATATATACAGTCACAGGTGGTCTCGAACGCTGATCTCAGATCTGCGCGTCAAGCCTGTTAAACTGTTCCCAAAACAATGTTACGGAACCGATTTCCCCTTTGTTATACCGCTGCATCGAACACATAACCGAACCGAGTTAAGCTGTTGCGGTGTAAGGGTAGCGCAGCATGTAGGGCGGTGGAACTGTAAGAATTCCATGGAGGTTTGTATCATTGCTGCATGCGCTGGTTTTGCTTTTCCATGGAATGCATCCCAAACGCTTACAAATTGTTTTCCGTTGATATTGACCAACTACAAAGCTGCCTTACATTTTAGGACTCCGAGCAATGGTAAACAAAGACGAAATTCTCATTACCATCACTGACCGAATAGATATGCCCTTTCACCCCAAGCACCCAAAATAGCTCTGGAAGTCTTCGGCAGCTCCCTGCACTTACTCCAGAGAGCGGCGGAGTGACTCATATGACCAGAGTTCCTCCTTAAATTCGAGGATTGCTGCTTTACTCTCAGAACGCTAGTACAAGTTGCCATTTTTTGAAGAAAACGCAAAGGATCATTAGTTCATCACATCATGTACACTTATGATCATTCGCTAATTGCTCCATCCCCTTCTCAAGATTATGTGTGGCAGCGATCCTCTCAGGCACTCCCGCCGCTAACGACTCTGACATATACAGGATGCGCCATTAATGTGGCAACAACTTTACGGAAGTCCGCAATTTCTTTGTTTGGAGGATTTTTCTGAATCTGCACCTTCTCTTATGCTTATCATATACCTTGGCTTACATACTCGCTTTGGTGCTCTCCATGCGTCAGTTTTCGAAAAATGGTGGAGCCTCACAATCATCCAGCAGCCATTTCGTCCTTGCGCGCATTTGGTGCGTCTTTTCAACATTTCTCGCATGACAGTCTCTTGTATCGCGATGCGTTGATAGGTCAAAGGACAGCCTTAAGATGGCCGTCTTGTCTCAGTTACGATCCCTTTTCCGAATACAGTTGCTTGGGCATGATTACGCCACGAAACCTACAGCAAC